GTTTATGAAATATTCTTTATTAGATTACGTCCGTCTGTTTTGAACGATAAAAGTGAAGGCTCCCCAAACCAATGATCTATGACTGTACTTTTGAGCAACTGCATGTACGACATTACGAGGGGAAACAGTGTAATTATGAAGATTGAGTGTTGTGTGGGAGAGTAGTTTGTGGATATACTACTGCTCACGCTAAAGGCAATTATAAATGACAGAGAGGCACACGAACGTAGTTTATGGTAGCAAAAACACAGTATTGGTTTATTGTAATACGGAGTAAACTGACATAGAGTACTGAGGCAACTGGTAATACATGAAATGTAACAGTAATCATGGGTATTTATACCCTCTATGCGAACGTGGAAGGAAACACATTTAGTCGTAAACTATGCAACTAAATTTCAAAATATAGGCGGCAAAACGAGGCCGAACTGTGATTGGTCACAATTAAACACTTGTGATAGTATGAGGGGGAAATTCTTCTTCTCTGGGTTCTCCACACGTGTAAGGGGGGAATATTTCGTCTCGTCTCTCTATCGCGTCCCCTTGAGGTGCGGGATTGGGAAAGTCACTTAAACCTTTACAGTCAAATAGACGGACACAACAAAATACATTTCAACTCTCGTCTTTAGTCGGTCAGTCGAGCACTCTATAAGACACAGCGCCCTGGGGAAAAGTCCCCAAGACTATCGCAAGGCTGACCCAAGACTAGCCCAAGACTCGCCCCAAGACTGCCTTAGACCGCGTCTGTCGTGGTGTTCTCGCCAGGACCAACTAAAACAACTTTATTCATTTCCAAAACCATAACCAATTACAAAGCAGTATAAAGACTCTAACGGGCGTAACCTTCAATCATACAGCCAATCACACTAAGTACTGAACATGTCATATCTTTTGATTAATCGTTGACTATATTAGTAACCGCGAATACCAACTGTCAGAAATAGTAGTCCGAATAGCGACGGTCATATCGTAATTGTTTTCAAATCACTGAGTCGAGTTCCGTCCAGAACCTCGATGAGTCTAAACGATGACAGATATAATCTGTATTTGTTTACATCTGTAACATCTAATAACAGTGACTTCTATTCCATTTAAATGGGAAATTGTCCACTCTATACAATTTGTTAACTACACAGCTTCGTCCAGTGTCGTACTTACATTGTAAAGGGTAGAAATATAATTAGTTCAGTTATGAGAGGGGATTGTATGTTTACTGTTAGAATCATTGAATTCTTTAACTTGTTTTATATTTTTTCTTAAAATGTGTTGGTTTACAGGACACTTAACATCTTTTGTGTCTTTTAGATTTATTTATTTTCGCTTTTTCAATTAAATATTAATAAATGTCATTGACTTATCTGCAGCAGATTAAATTATATCACTGAATAATTGTTGTTTTGTCTTTGATTCAAAGCTATTTTAAGACAATTTTATAAGTAATTTCAATAGTTTAAATGTGTATCAAAATTGAATTTAGATGTAGATGTAGGAATCAATGTGACAAAAGTTGCATGGTTAATATCATAATTTGTTATAGCAAAAGACAATGCACAGATGATCAATTTTCAAATATGTTATAAACTGATGCGACACAGTAGTCTAGTACCTGGCTTACCACATTATATTTACTTCGCCAAATAGGTCTCCCACTACTCTACCACTGATATCGGTAAATATTGTCCATATTTATTGTTCAGTGTCCATCGATTATTTAGCGTTGTTAAGGTAAATATCATGCAAAGATCCGTAGACTATATGAATACATTTTTTGAGAGCTATAGAAAACAAATGCAAGACTTACAACAGGAAAATAAGAAATTGCGCGAGAAAGTGACGAGTAAGTACAGAAGATAAGCTGAACAAGGCAGAAAACGACATCGAAACAATGCAGCAGTATACAAGGCGCAATAACCTAGAAATACAGGGAATACCTGAAGTACAAGGTGAAAATACTGACGAAATAATAATTAAAATAGCCGATCTAGCAGGAATTCAAGTATCAGAAGTGACATTGATATCAGTCACGGCTGCCATTGAAACCAGGGCAACGCTCATCTGAGGTTATCGCCCTCTTTACAAGAAGAAGTATCAGAAATAAATTATATAAAGCAAAGAAAAACGTATAATAATAAATCTACATCAGATATAAAAATTGGAGGATTACAACGAACAAACAAACGGATTTATATAAACGAGCAGCTTACCGAAAATAACAAGAAACTTTTTCATGAAACAAATAACAAACGCAAAGCCGCGAAATGGAAATTTATTTGAAATCAAAATGGGAAGATATTTGCCAGAAAAGACGAAGGATCTCCAGTTGTAAAAGTCCATTCAGCAAATGATATTGACCAAATCAACTAACTTGTAAATGTCCAATCGGTAAGACAAACACTAACTATGAACTCCGCTGATACAGAACAAACAACTGTCAAATATAACTGCCGGTCTTATAGTGTGGAGCAATTTAATACAGGTATAGATATTGATATTATATCAATATCATTTCCGGTCCACTCACACATATTGTCAACTGCTGTCTGATCCAAGGCAAATTCCCGGATGCATTAAAATATACTAAAATTACACCTATCTATAAAAAAGGATCTGCTTTAGATATAAATAATTATAGACCAATCTCAGTATTGCCTGTGCTTAGTAAAATAATTGAATCTGTGGTTAAAAATCAACTTATGGCATTTCTCGACCAATTTAACATTCTTTTAAATACTCAGTACGGTTTTCGTAAAAAGTACAGCACAAAGCTCGCCCTTGCTGATTTAATCTCGGACGTCACTGATAGCATGGATGAAGGGATTATCATTTCCATGATATTCATATTAAAGGTTTTCATCTGTTATAAATGTCCATAAATATCTTGGCCTGTAAGATAACTACTGTTGTAATATGATGAACCTGTTGGTGGAATATATACATTGCAGATATAAAAAGGTCTTTATCTAGACCAAAGAATTCTCCATTTTAATTCACATTACCTATTTGCTTGCATATACTATTGATTTTACTAAGATCTTCTCTTAAAATCGATTTAAACAGAATGACTATTCTTCCAGAAAACTTTCTAGCATTTTTTTTTCTTTTCTTAAATAACCTGAAATAAAAACACTAATTTTAACACTGCTATCTAACCAACTTTCAAAACAAAGTCAGAAAAAAAACTTATCATCCATACACGATTTTAAACAAAGTATATTCAATAAATTTAAACGCTGCTGTATTCTGTTCATAATCTATCCAATATATCCTTAAGGTGGATAAGGAAGATATTTAAACATTGACTTTCATGGTATTGGCGGTACAAATGGAGCTACATAGCAATGTAAATATTATACAAACATTTATAATTTCTGCTCAACCTATGCAGTGGATCAAAGCATACACCTATTTAGACTGTGTGGTAGTCAAAAATGGTAAAAATTAAAATAATGACAAATAATTCTTGAGTGATATAATTTATGAATACCTGCCTGCCTTGCCTATTTATTTCCATAACAATCTTGTTTGCTTTGCCGAATGTGTACTACTCTAAATAGTATATTAGCTTCACTGTGTTGCCAATAATGATAGACTGGCCCAGCTGTGGTGATTTTTTTTTCAGTTAAAAGTTTCAGTTTTCGAAAGGTGGGGTGAATGCGAAACCACCACAGACTGGTCTTATTTGCAGCGAATCTGTTGCTATTATATATTCATGATATGCAGTGACATCACTGAACGGATACAGAAAAGGAGTGGGGGCGTGCGCGCTGCATAATGAGGTAAACATTGTGGGTCTTCTGTGCAGATCGCGCTTCACTGTAACCCAGGCAAAATAAAGCTACACGCAGGCTACTTCTCTCCATTAGAATAATTTGTACAAAACGTTATAAATAGTAATTTATTTGTTATGATTGACGATCGAGGAACTTGAAGAAAAGTTAAGTCTTCAGATACAAAAGTTAACTAGATATAGTTTAAAGGTCAAATTACTCTGATTGAATAACGTTCTTGCCTGTCATTCTGCTCATTAACATAAAAACTAGTATGAAAACACACTAGTTCCTGCTTTCACCACAGAAGGCGCGGCAAAAGCGTCCAGTCTGTGTGATTTCGCGGTTACAGGGGATTTCGCGTTAACACCTTCATTTCGCTATTTTTTTTATTTAATTTTAAATTTTAAAAGAAATAAATCGCCCAGACTGTGCCAGTCTACCCTAATGAATATGTATCTAGTAATAAATGCAATAATTCACACCACCACCATACATAACGTTTCTCTTAATTAATATACGAACACTAGATGGCGCTAGTCACTTAGACTACAGGGTTAACGGGTATATACAGTGAATAAGTGTAATCAAAATAATCCATCCATGCTGAAAGGAAATCTGGCGAGTAACTGCGTAGATTGGTGCCTTTCTACTATTCTTCCGCAGTGATAAAATAGCTGTACTACAATTTACACTTATTTCTGTATGCACGAGCAATATAGCATAGCGCCACTGTTCTGCTACTCTATACTGTCAAGTAGTACAACACGATAATTTCAAACAGTGAGCTTAAATAATTCATGTGATCGGCAACAATTATCCCAACTGCACGTCTGCATACATGAAACAACTCACCAGATTCTCCGGCATTCAGGATATTACAAATTTGAATCAGGTTGACTGGCTCCCTGACTGAGGATTGCTAATGAATGGTTATCTCAAAACGGCATGTTGTGAAATGAATATCCGAGCAATGCCAATTTAATATAAGAAAAAACAGGTCAAATATGATGACTAGTGCAATATAAATTACTTCACAATCACCATCACCATGTAACTGTATTGGGTCATATTATTATGTCATCGGAAGGCAGGATGTGTATTCCCAGATCAATTAGATTTCGATGTAATTGTCACCACAAATTGATAGGTACCGTTTTTTTCGATTTCAGTAGACTGACATTTGCATTTGTCAACGTCTGGTTCGATACATATGGTAATTGCATTCACAATGAACATTTTAATATATTCACTTACTTGTTTCTACATTACATAAGAGAAACATTTGTTTGAAACAACATTTTTCTATCACACTATTTGTCACTATTAATAAGGTCAGTCACCAAGAATAAACAAATTGAAATTAGTGGTTAACACAGTTATTACAAATAATTACATATCAAATTACTACTGAGTTAATGCTATATTCATTTAACTTTTTACTTATTCAAATACTTTCTTGAAGTGGACAATAGTTGATAGTTAGGCACAATCTGAAAAAAAAAAGAAAACGTGGTAGTGTTAATATTATCACAAAACATATGATATAGTATGCAAGGCATTAATCTGTTTAATTCGATTGTGGTATTGACCATGATTTGTTATCCAAAATAAAAATCATTGTGATAATGCTAATCGTTTCATACGTAACGTTATTGGTGTTTTGCAGAAGATAATTACCCCAACCAATATTCAGATGCAGTATTTGACATAATTTGTATGCATTTCAGATAAATTGGTCGTAATGTCCTATTGAATACAGGTCTTTATTAACATTTCAATTAGGGAAAGGGATCATGTATATATATTTTGTTAAATAGAGCCTACAGTTCATTTTACTTTAGTGTTGAAATGAACAAGGGAGCAGTTACGAACTTACAGGAGAATTCGCAAATGTAACTCTTCTTTACCCCACACTTGGCGTCATCCCATTTCATGCTTCTTCTTTTCCTGGAGAGATGGAAAACTTGAAATAAATGTACTATCATGTTGGACTTGTATGCTTAAGTGTGAATACAGAATAACATATCACAGAGCATCAAAATAAGAAGTTGTGTTCAGTTTACCATTTTTGTAATTAATACTAAGCTTTGAGTGATTCGAAATAAAAATCTGCATTTGAATAATAATGACATTAGCACTAATGATTTACAATGAATACATACCACAATTGCACGCAGTGTTGTTCATTACGATGGTTGTTAGGCTGGTTACCCGCCCAGTGGGTGAAATCCACGTTGATAGATGGGTTCACCCACTCGAAATTGCCTTCTCCATTGCGATGAAGCCCGATCCAAAGCCCGTTCCTGACTTCGTCATCTAGATCGTTATTAAAGATGAACTGACGAACGTCTTTGTTAATAGATTGAGTGTGTGGCATAGCTAAATTCCCACCGAGCTCCTCGCATTTTGATCGTGCTGCAGTCCAAGACAACCTGCCTGTTTCCGATTGTTTGGTGAACACCTGGTAGCGGATGCAATCGAAACATATGGAGTTTTCGTCTGTGAAAATAGTTTCATACAGGTTTCTATTGTGTACATCACAATTAGACCATTATTTCTACCCAAGGAATTGACTCCCAAGCGACGACAACAACGCATGCTAAAACGCATAAGCTCATGGTTAGACGCTTGTTTGTAAACTGACATGCTATGGCCATCTGACGCATGCGCGGGTGATAACCCGCGCACTTTAAATTTACATACTATAATAAACTGTACTCGGCATTAAATAAGACACGATATCAGGACACACTATTGTGCTCACAGTTCACATTTCCTCGATAAGGACCCACTAAAAATATTGTACTTTTTTAAAGTTATAGATGCCGATTCGTGACGTGGATTTTTTTCTTGCTAATTCTTACTTGGACAGTTTCGGCGAGGGACTGTTGAAATTTCTCAGCTCGTGCATAGTGGAACATTCAAAAACGATTAAATTATACAAAACTTGCACCAACATTATTTTTTTCGAACGCTTATCAAGATTTATAAAGCTGTGCATAGTGAAAACGAAACATGGTGCAATAAAAGTTATGACGGAATCTCCATATATAACTTTTTCCGAAACGATTATATGTTTAAATTTGGGACATTTAAATTATGAACATCAACAAAATTCTTTCCGAATGAGTGGCTATGCAAATTATCCATTATCTCCACTTGTGTTTTTCAGTTTTCCCGGGACGTTGAAATCTAAATAGATCTCACAATTGTTGTTTATTGTCAGTTGTTGTCCCGGTCAGTATTTTGCACTCCAAATGTCATTGTCCGAGAATGCTAAGATCAGACGTCCTTTTGTTCGTAAAGACGTTGTCGAAATAGTGAGAGAATGTCAGGCCAAATGACCAAAACTGAGAGTTAATTAAATCGGCAGAAGAACTAATCTGAAAGTGAAGACAGTACAGCGTTCTGGCTATAGTAAACAGTGAGTGAATTAATATTTTACTAGTTAGAAATATGCTTACATCACTTGAACTACGGTACTCATTTTGCCCAACTTCCTACTTTTTAATCGATCGCTTAATTTCCGACCGCACTGTATTTTACCGACTGGAAAACGACCGCATTTTTATTGTTTTTTGTCACTGGCACAGGAGTGGTCAAAATGTTTGGGGACACAACGAGTGTTAACTACTATAAATTCTAAACGGCTCTTCAAATCTATACCACTCTGTATCGTTCGCAAACGCAACTATATATGTGTCCAATATTAGAGTCGGTACAATATTGTAACAAATTCCATATCTCAGCGATATAGCTATTGTATACACATACCTTTTTTATTGTGGTTCGCACAAACGTTGAATAGCCGTCAAAAAATCAAATATATTTAGTTTTTAAATATCTATAATTATATGCACGCAATTTGACCCTTTGGCCTAGATTTGAATGCCATGGAATATTTTATTTTAAACAATATTCTGACGTTACTTACTACCCCCAAAATGTTTCAACACAATTGCGATATGACTGTCCGATTTACAAAGCAGATCGGGTAATATATTAATAACCATTCTCACCAACCGCTAGCTTAGGAGAGAGTAGGAAATCAAACCCCCGCAGGTCGCCGCCTTTTATGCATAGATTTCATGACGCCGTCTAACCGCGGTCGGGAACGAAAGGCTCGCACAGCAATTCACACTTGTTGTCAAGATCATGAATGAACAGAAAGGACTGGGAAATTAAAAAGATCATATTGCCACAAAGTTAAATAAATTTGGCTGCACAAAAGCTTGGAAACTATTTCATAATAGTTTGCAAAAGACTGAGTGATCAACGACATCATTTTGGGACGCAATTGCGTAACTTACTGCGCGACGATGCTGACCCCCCAAGTCACGCACTGAACAGGCGCGTTACCTTAGCAATCTTTTTCTTTCACGCTCCGCGCGTCGATCTTGTAAATTAAGCCAGTTCACGGTTTAGCCGGCTTCGTAACGAGGCCGGGGTCACCTGGGGTCAAGGGGGATAAAAATCGCTGACGTTGGTGGCGTTGCATAGTGTTTGCCTTGACAGTCGCGTGGATCCATGCATTTAAACGGGATTCTACTAGAATCTAAAGGCTAATCTGAGTTTATTCTGCATGTGAGTATACATCAGTTGTTTGCGATGATTATACTAACAATTTTCCGAATCGGACAATAATATTTATTTGATTATGAGCACATTAAGAGTACATATGCAGAGTACCCAATTTATGACTATGCTGTTGCCACAGAAATGTAGGTTGTATTTCATATTATGTAATATATTATATCCATATGTGCCTAAATTTCACAGTTTGTGTAAAAACATGTATAGAATATAACAGCATTATGGTCTATTTCATTGTCAAAATATTCTATATGGATAATTTTTAGTGTCAATATAAATAGTCCTAGCTATGTTTGATACATATACTATATCAATATTTATTTGAAATAAATATAACAACTTGCGTCTTGTAGAAGTATACACTAAAATAATTTCATGTGCTTTTTCCTTCAGATAAACATATTCTACCAATGCCAAAAGTCATTTGTGCTGTGGTAGGGTGCCACAACAGCACCTATAGGATCAACAAATGGAAAACAGAATTATGTGATCAACACAGGTCCCTTCATGGTGTAGGAGCATGTATTTGCGATCCTCCTTTTTACTTGTACCCCTTCCCATCAAAGCTGAATAATCATGAAATGTACATAGAGTGGTGTAGGATATGTACAGAACAGAAAAATTAACCAAAAAAACTGGGAGGCTACCAAATATGACCGTGTTTGCTCTGAGCACTTTATTGATGGTAAACCAACAACAGAACACCCATATCCTACTTTGGCTCTTGGAAGATCGTTGTCTAAAGTAAAAGCACCCAGAAGAAAACTCTATAAACATTCACTTGAACCAATACGAAAGAGACAGAAAGTAACATTGACACATTCATCAAATCCAGAAATACTGAACTGTCAGATACACCATTAATAACATGCCCATCAATTGCTGGCCCTTCTGATGATAGAAACATACTTGAATGGATACATAATTACAGAGAGCCACTGCAGTGTGATTGTCCAGGTGAACATTGTCCAAGGTGCCACATGAAAGACATTGAAATAAAAGAGAAAGACAAACTGATAAAACAACTTTCTGAAAAACCTCCAAAGCCAATTTGATGGAATTATAACTGATGACAAGGCTTGTCTTTTCTACACTGGAATAACAACTATTAAAATATTTAATCTATTATATGAATACTTTAAACCAAAGGTCGTTAAAATGATGTATTGGAAAGGTGCAAAGACATCAAAATCTCAAACACAAGAGTCACATATGAAGAGAGGACCTGAACGAAAGGTGGAAATAAAAGAAGAAATGCTTATCACTTTGATGAAATTGAGACTTGGTTTATTGAATGAATACATCGCCAGAACATTTAATTTATCAGAAGGTTTAGTATCATCAATATTCACAACTTGGGTAAAAGTGATAGGCCCTCTCCTGAAAGAAAGTATTTTCCTACCAGACCCTGAAAACATTAGAGCCAATCTCCCAAGGTGTTTCATGAAACGGACCACAAGGCTTAGAGATATACTGGATTGTACAGAATTTTTTATAGAGAGACCAAGAGAACTTGAACTCCAGGCCTTGACCTGGAGTGACTATAAAAAACACAATACCATCAAGGTTCTAGTAGTCATTACTCCACGTGGTAAAATTGGGTTTCTCTCAGAGGCTTGGGGTGGTCGGACATCTGATCGACATATCACACAGAATAATGGATTTATGGACAAAGTGGAATCATATGATCAATATATGGCTGATAGAGGGTTTGACATTGCAGGAGATTTACTGTTACATAGGACAGAGCTGGTCATTCCTCCTGGTGCAAGAAGCCATGAACAAATGTCAGGAAGTGACGTCAAGAAAACAAAAGAAGTTGCCAACCTCGGAATCCACATTGAGAGAGCTATTGAGCGAATAAAGCGCTTTCGAATTCTCAAAACAACACTTCCTTTAACGTTGGTTCATTTAGCAAATGACATTATTATGGCCTGTGCAGGACTGTGTAACCTCCTTGATCCATTAATAAAATGAACCAAGTTGAGTTATTTTCTTGTAGACTGGTAGGATAATCTGCAACTTTCAGTTTTTGCAGATCTCTGGATAACTTACCATGTTTAATGAAGTGCCATCAATGTTTCACTTTTCTTATATTGTAATTTCTGTGTATTTGCAAAAATATGATAGTTTTGTGATCAAACCTGATAAATACATTT